ATCACAAAGGTGGTTTTTCTTTTTCTTTTTTTTTTATCTTTTTTTTTTCTTTTTTTAGTGGGAGGTAAAATAGCAAGGTTTATTAGGGAAGGGACATCTGTAAGGACGTAAGGACGGATGTGCACCTCTCCAGACAGGACCTGAGAGAGTGGGGGGGGGGGGGGGGGTGGGGGGTGGAAGTTACATGGTTGAGTGGAGAGATTACACCTGGCCAGACCAGGTGGGCGGCTCAGCAGAGAGGCAGAGGGCTGACCGCCCAGTCCAGTTGAGGCCGGGGGTTTTAAGGAGATGGGTCTTGCTTCCCCACCTCTGCTCCTCTTGGAACAAAGGGTTTTTTGGATGTAAATAGAAAAACTTCTCTCTTGAAGGTCTGAAACAAAGGACTTTATGGATGCAAATATTATCAGACTGGAGGAAGGGAGCAGGGTGTTTGAGATGCAGATACTGGGCTTCACCTGAGAGACTGTGGAAGTTTTGTCAGGCAGAAGTGGTGGGGACCCCCTCACCTGGCAGGTTATCAGGTGGAAGGGGGCAGGGCAGGGCAGGGCAGGATGTGAATACCAGGCTGCCCCTGAAAACACCATCAGGATGACCTTGAGATGCAGCATATGCTGGACATAGATGTCTTCTCTCTAGGCCTTCCTGTCACACACACATAAGCTCATAACTGACTTCCTACCTAACATTCCCCCCTCAAGAGGTAATACCCAAAATTCTTCTTTGGGATTATGGATGGAGTTCCGTTTTCTGTAACTTTTTCAAAGCTGGCATATGGGCATTGAGGGGGATTTGGGTATTTCCTCTTGCTATCTGTCTTATGGTGTGCGACAGTGGCCTTGGAAAGACTGTGCTGCTCGGTCCAGAGGGCTGCTCAGGTCGTCCAATGGAATGGGCTGGAAGCCTTGTCTGATGACCACTTGGAGTTCAACAGCTTTTAGTCTCCCCTTCCAGCGCCGATGTGTGGACTCAGAGCCCTGGGCGTCCCTCCTCTCCCCGCTGGTGTCTGTGTCACATCTGACAAAGGTGGTTTTTCCAATGAAAGACTTATCCACTGGACTCAGATATGGGAAACTCAACTGTATAATTTGTGGTAGTGTAGGATGGCTTTCTTGAGCTCCCGTTTATAAGCAATGCTCTAAAACTGTGAATTCAACCATCTCTCATCAAGGCTTCTGGAGAAGGGTCAGAAACTGTCCTTACACCACTTCTACTATGGCTACCTTCACAATTCATTTTATTCTAGTGATATCTTCAGTATATGAATGAAGATACCAGAGTAAAGGTGGCAATTTAACCCAGTTCATCAGAGTATAAAATGAATGGACATACAGAGATAGCTGGATCTGACTGTGGATGGTGGATGAGATTGGGAATTACAGTTCTGAAAGGACTAGTACACAGGGAAGGTATGTCCCTCAGGATCCTCCAGAGAAATAAAATGAATTGTATACATAGATATGTAAATGATTAGATGAAAGGTGGAGATAGAGAGGGAGAAAGAGACAGAGAGAGATGAGATTATAGCAGGGGCTTGTGCTGTGGCATAGCGGGTAAAGGCGCCACCTGCAGGGCCAGCATCCCTATGAGCACCAGTTCGAGTCCTTGCTGCTCCACTTCCAATCCAGCTCTCCGCTATGGCCTGGTAAAGCAGTGGAAGATGGCCCAAGTCCTTGGGTCCCTGCACCCGCATGAGAAACCCTGAGGAAGCTCCTGGCTCCTGGCTTTGGATTGGCAAAGCTCTGGCCGTTTTGGCCATCTTGGGACAGAACAAGCAGATGGAAGACCTCTCTCTCTCTCCTTGACTCTCTGTAGCTCTGCCTTTCAAGTAAATAAATAAATCTCGAGAGAAAGAGAGAGAGAGTGTGTGTTAGAGATTATATAAGTGTTTGTTAAAAGGAAATGAATCACATGATTGTGGAGACTGACAAGATCTGTCATCTCAAGAGAGCTGATAGTGAGCTCCATTTGTAAAACCGGTAAGCTCGAGAACCAGAGAGAGCCAAAGTTACAGTCTGATTCTGAAAGCAAGAAAACATTAATGTCCCAGTTCACAGGCAGTCAGGCAGGACTTATTCTCTTCCTCAGATAAGAGTCACCATTTTGTTCTAGTCAGGCCTTCAACTGACTGGAAGCAGCCTACTCCACAAAGCAGAGCAGTGTGCTTTATTTAGTTTACCAATTTAAATATTAATTTCACCCAAATGGTAATCCTGATGGTAATCCTCCGAATAATGTTTGACCAAGTAACTAAGCACCCACATACTGGCTCGGTCAAGTCAACACACAAAATTAATCATCAGTACACAAAGTGCGGACGCACAATTGGTGCGAACTTGCCTTTCCGCGCGGGTTCCATTTACCCAGGGGTTGACCAGGTGACTGCTCACCGGAACTCCAGATGACTCCTAAGAAGTTGGAAACTACTGGCTCCAAAGGACTCTTTCTGACTGCCCAGTAGGACGCAAAGACGCTGCCTGTGGCAAGTCATCACTACTCCTACCTTCACGCCGGCCACTGCCCTCGCAACTGCACCAGGGCTTTCACAGCGCGCGCAGGAAGTGACGTGGCTGCGGCAGGAAGTGACGTGGGCCGCGCGCCCACAGAGCTGTGCGTGAGCTGGCACGGTGCCCTAAGGCAAGCTGATCCGCTCACTCTGCTTTGTGTGGTGTCGGTACCTGAAAGGTTTTGAAACCTTGTGTTTCTTCCAAAGATAGCGTGCCAAGAGTTTCGTTTTAACCAGGGCGGGCCACTTACTGTTGCACTTTGAACATCATCCACTTTGAGATTCTTCCGAACCACGCGTTTATAAGGCTTGTGCTCTTAAAACCTCTGAATTCCTGCTCATTCTTTTTCCTTGTTTCCTTGAATGACCATCTTCTTCGCTACAGTGAACTCATTCTCACTATAGCTCAAAAAAGTGAGGTTCCAGTGCAAGGACAAATCATGTACAAAGAAACATCGCAGTGTTAAAAACTGATTAACGAGTACTTAACAAACGACTTTTGGGAGGAAATAGGACTAATCAACACATTGTGATAAAATGAGTTAGTTACCTATTTGAGAAGAAAGATTGTTTTTAGATGTTGACACACAGTGTCCCAGATAGAATTAAAAAATAAAACACGGGGTCAGCGCTGTGTAGTAGCGGGTAAAGCCGCTGCCTACAGTGCCAGTATCCCATATGGACACCGGTTCGAGTCCCGGCTGCTCCACTTCCCATCCATCTCTCTGCTATAGCCTGGGAAAGCAGTACAAGATGGCCCAAGTCCTTGCTTCCCTGCACCTAAGTGCATGGGAGACCTGGAGGAAGTTTCTGGATCCTGGTTTCCGATCAGCACAGCACTGGCCATTGCAGCCAACTGGGGAGTGAACCAGCAGATGGAAGACCTCTCTCTCTCTCTCTCTCTTTCTCTCTCTCTCTCTCTGCCTCTCCTCTCTCTGTGTGACTCTGACTTTCAAGTAAATAAACACAAATAAATCCCAGCTCAATTAATGAGTTAAATATGGAAGTTCTGGATTGTTTAATAACCATGGACTCCAGGTGTGGTAGCAGCAGCAAAGGAATCTTTCACTACACAAATGCATGAGTATGGAACTGTTGCAAGCTGATGTCTCTATTCCCAAAGGATCTGTGGCAAAGCCACCATATGAACCTTAAGCAATTGCCAAAAAATTAGGTTGAAAAGATGTGTAGAGGAAACGGATTATTTGAAAGTGGCCTCAAAGGAGGAGTAAAAATAGTTTTCAGAAGAAGCACAAGCTGTTTCCTCACAAATAATTGGGGAAAAGCTGCTTACCAAGGGCAGACTATGGATTAAGTTTTGATCTGTGAGCAGAAAATATCCCAAGGGAGAATACTACTTTGAAATAACAATGGAAAGGTCATTTCAAGATCCTGTATCAACTGGACGTTCACAAGGTGGTGTCAATATGAAGATGTTGCTGCTGAGAGACTCCTGACAGAATAAAGAATTTATTGATATTATAGAAGGAATCAAAAAAAAAAAAAAAAAGCTGTCTGGCTTGCACAGAAAATGGGATTTCCACCTAACATTGTGGATTCTGCAACAGAAAACATGGTCAAGTTTTATAACCTTTCTCTGAAATATGCAACCATGGTAGAAATAAATCCAATGGTGGAAGGTTCAGATGGAGCTGTGCTGTGTATGGATACAATGATTAATTTTGATTCTAATTCTGCCTATCATCGAAAGAAAAACTTTGATCTGCAGGACTGGACCCAAGAAGATGAGATGCAGGTATGGCAGATCTCAATGACACTGGCATCAATAGAAATATAGGATTCCTAGTAAATGATGCTGGTTTGGTTAAGGCCACAAAGGATATAATAAAACTTCATGGAGGGACGCCAGCCAACTGTATTGATGGTGATGGTGGTGCCACAGTCCATCAAATAACAGAAGCATTTAATCTTATCACTTCAGATAAAAGATACTATCTATTTTGGTTAACATAATGAAGGAATCATGTGATGTGATGTTATTGCATGATATATAGTCATGGCAATAAAAGATTTGGAAATTAAAATACCTGTTGTGGCATGGTACAAACCATATGGTTTAATGATGCTAAGGGAATGATAGCAGGCAGTGGACTTAAAATTCTTGCTTTGATGACTTGGATTAAGCTGCTAGGATCATTGTAAAGCTGTCTGAAGTAGTGATTTTAGCCAAGCAAGGCCAAGTGGATGTGAAATTTCAATTGCCAGTTTGATCTGGGAACCTAATGTATGGCTGAAGGTCGTAAATGTGTTAGAATTGTTAAGAATACTGTGTTCTGTGTTCTTTTGCTTTTTTTTAATGTGTAGAGATTGTAATTAACATCTAGCCACACAAACTTTTTTTTTTAACTTTTATTTAATGAATATAAACTTACAAAGTACAGCTTATGGATTACAATGGCTCCCCCTCCCCGAAATTCCCTCCCACCCACAACCCTCCCCTTTCCCTCTCCCTCCCCCCTTCCATTCACATCAAGATTCATTTTCAATTCTCTTTATTTACAGAAGATCAGTTTAGCATACATTAAGTAAAGATTTCAACAGTTTGCTCCCACAGAGAAACACAAAGTGAACAATACTGTTTGAGCACTAGTTATAGCATTAAATCACAATGTACAGCACACTAAGGACAGAGATCCTACATGAGGAGTAAGTGCACAGTGACTCCTGTTGTTGACTTAACAAATTGACACTCTTGTTTATGGCATCAGTAATCACCCTAGGCTCTTGTCATGAGCTGCCAAGGCTATGGAAACCCCCTGAGTTCACTGACTCTGATCATATTTAGACAAGGCCATGGTCAAAGTGGAAGTTCTCTCCTCCCTTCAGAGAAAGGTACCTCCTTCTTTGATGACCTGTTCTTTTCACTGGGATCTCACTCACGGAGATCTTCCATGTAGGGTGGGTTGGTTGTGTTTTTTGTTTGTTTGTTTGTTTGTTTGTTTTTTTGCCAGAGTGTTTTGGCTTTCCATGCCTGTAATACTCTCATGGGCTTTTCAGCCAGATCCGCATGCCTTAAGGGCTGATTCTGAGGGCCACACAAACTTTTAAAAATATTTGGTCCGTATTTAATTTTACTGTTCCCAAGGGACTGTACAAAGAATCTGTAATGCAGGTGTTTGGTTAACTCTCTTGTAGCTGTCCTTTTTTGGCTTCTACAGAATGTCACTTGCAATGTGCCTGCTTCTTATTGTTGGATACAAAGTTCTTCATTGATAAGATTCCTATAAATAAAATCATAAGATAAAGCTTTTTAAAAAAAAGAATCATCATAGGAGGAAATAAACCTATCTCAGAAGAAGAGTGTTTATCAATGCAATCTTCTGGTGGAAGTGATGAACAGATCTCACGTGGAAATACCAATCTCTTGGGGAGTGACAAAAAAGTAATCTTTCATTAGCATGTGTTCAGTATGATGTCCATATCAAGGAGTACAAGATAATGATCACCAAGCAGTAGGAAAATTAAAATGTTAGCTAGTTAAGTTAGAGGCATTTTTTTTTATTCTGTTTTCTCCCTCACAGAAAAACACACAAGAGGAGATACCACACAGTAGAATGGGAAAAAGGGAGCAAAATTCAGACTATACTATCTCTAGTTTTAAGATGTTGGGGTCAGCTGGCTATCCCTTTGATTTTGTATTTGGTGTTAGATTTAGGCCAACAAACTCAGCTTCCTTTACTTCAAACTGTGTGTGCCATTCTCAGTCAATGCAAGACAAATTACTAAGAACCTGAAGAGAAGCCAGTTCCAATACTCCAATCTCACCTCTCCTTTATCTTAAAGCAATGAAAGGTAACCCACATATAAAACATGATATAAAGTATAGCTTCCAGGTGTTGCTGTGGATTCGTCCTGAGAGGAGGAGCGTGGTGGGGGCAAGAGGCACAGAGTCACCACACAGACCCCAAGAGTCGGGTGAAAGCAGACCAAAGGCGAGCAGCCCGCAGACTCATTAATTTCAGTTGGTACAGCAGCTTATATAGCCGAGGCAGCCAATCCAGTCAAGGGGCAGTTTATGCCCTAACCAATCACAGCCTGTTGCCAGACAGGCTCCTTTGCCATGTCGTTTCTGAAGCCATCCAATCACAGCCTGTTGACAGCAGCCATCTTGGCATGGCCTTCTCATTCCACCACATCCAGGCATATTCAATTCCACGTATATTTAATTTTTCTGATTCTCATTTCACAATTTTGCTTTGGAAAACTGGCAAGCAGCAGGAATAAAAACTCTCATCTAGAAGTAAGAAGTTCTAGCTTTTACTTCTAGTTATAAAACTTTGGGTGGGGGAGTCATTCAAACTCCTTGGTCTCATAATATTTATCTTAAAAGAATAAGAAATATCCAGATAAATTATTCTTAAATTTTCTGAGTCAGGGGTCAGTGTTCTGGCGTCAAGGGTTAAGCCACCACCTGTGATGCTGGCATTCCTATGGGAGCCAGTTCAAGTCCTGGCTGCTCAACTTCTGATCCAGCTTCCTACTAATGCACTGGGAAAGAAACATAAGATTGCCCAAGTGCTTAGAGCACTGCACCCTCACAGGAGACCCAGAAGAAGCTCTGTACTCCTGGCTTTGATCTGTTCAAGCCCTGGCCATTACAGCCATTTGGGGAATGAGCCAGCATCTGGAAGATCCTCTCCCTCTCCCTCTCCCTCTCCCTCTCCCTCTCCCTCTCCCTCTCCCTCTCCCTCTCCCTCTCCCTCTCCAAGAGAGATCTTCCATCCACTGGTTCACTCTCCAGATGGCCACAACAGCCAGGGCTGGGCCAGGCCAAAGCCAAAATTAGGAGCTTCATCCAGGTCTCTCAAGTGGGTGACAGGGGCCCAAACACTTAGACATCTTCCACTGCTTTTCCCAGGCCATTAGCAGGGAGTTGGCTCAGAAGTGGAGCAGGTGGGACATGAACTGGTACCCAAATGGGATACTGTACCCATTACACCACAATGCTGGCCCAACCCTCTTACCACTTTTAAAGGTCTAAGCTATAGAAGAAATCTCACTGCCACCATTTGTGGAGTGAACCAGCAAATGGAAGATTCTCTTTCTTTCTTTCTCTCTCTCTCTCTCACTCTCTCTGTAACTTTGCCTTTCAAATAATTAAATAAATCTTAAAAAAAACAGTAAGAGGATTTTCACTAGCTTAAGGAAGACAACATTCTTCAATTCAAAGTAAACATCTTTGAAATATTTTCCATAGGTAAAATTGGGAAAATATTATCGAAATGGTACCCAAAATCTTGTCAAATGTCATTGTGCCTGCATTGAAGTTACTAGCATGATATAAGAAGTTATATATCTTGTCTTTGTGCCTTATTTTCAATAAGGTTGTTTATCCATCCACAAATCTCTTAAGCATGAATACAAGTTTAGTTTTTCCTAATTCTGTCTTTTTTTTCTTTTTTTTTCTTTCTTTTTTTTTTTTTTTGACAGGCAGTGTGGACAGTGAGAGAAAGAGACAGAGAGAAAGGTCTTCCTTTTGCCGTTGGTTCACCCTCCAATGGCCACCGCAGCTGGCACGTTGTGGCCGGCACACCCGCTGATCCAAAGCCAGGAGCCAGGTGCTTATCCTGGTCTCCGGTCTCCAATGCGGGTGCAGGGCCCAAGCAACTTGGGCCATCCTCCACTGCACTCCCGGGCCACAGCAGAGAGCTGGACTGGAAGAAGAGCAACCGGGACAGAACCGGTGCCCCAACCGGGACTAGAACCCGATGTGCCAGCGCCGCAGGCAGAGGATTAGCATATTGAGCCGCGGCGCCTGCCCTAATTCTGTCCTTAAAGATTATTGCATTCTTTGGAGAGTAAAGATTAATGTCAAAGTGAGTTAAATTATTTTGGATTTTACATGATTTCACAGATGTGATACTATACTGTATTACAAGAGAAGTCCAACATCTATTTCTTGGAATTTAAGAGTTAATGTCCAGGGGCTGGCACTGTGATATAGCCAGTAAAGCCGCATCCCATATGGGTGCCAGTTCGAGTCCTGTCTCCTGGCTTCAGATCGGTGCAACCCCAGGGGTTGTGGCCAATTGGAGAGTGAACCAAAGGATGGAGGACCTCTCTCTCTTTGCCTCGCCTTCTCTCTGTTTGTAACTCTCTCAAATAAATAAATGAATCGTTAAAAAAAAAAAAAGAATTAATGTCCTTTTTATATAGGGGCTTCACAATATCAATTATTTTTACTTTACAATTATCTTCAAATGCAGATTTTGAATATCAATTGAAACCCAGGTCTAGTTACTGTCAAAAAAAGCTTAAATCTTCCTTTTCTTGCATATGGCTTTTTGGTGGTCACTGTTTAAATAATGTCTTATGCAAGGTATGTTAGACGAGAAAAATTCTTTCTGCTCATAGAAGTTTTACACTTTGAATATCATTTTTTTACAGATCTCACATAACTATTAATAATTTTCCACCAATTTTTTTCTTTTTCTCAGTGAGAATTTAAACTTAAAATTGTGACAAATTTTAAAATAAATCATCTCTCTTTTTATTTCAAGTTTCTAATTTTCTTTATATCTTTCTTGTTACATTTTGTGCTCTGTTGCTTTCTGCAATATTGATTAGAAATAAGTACACAAGAACTAATATAGCTACTAGGGAAATTTATTGGGCTGTAGTCTTTTGACTTTTCTGTTTGCTTTATCTCTTTTGTAAATTACCCTAATATTTCTTTCTGTCTTTTGGGTTTAGCTAAGTCAACATTTTGTATTTCTCCAATCTGTGAAAGCACATTACTAGGTTTCTGTGATTTGCATTTTCTATATATTCTACTAAAAAGAACTTATTGTTGATTTTTAAGTATTCAATTGCACTGTTTCAAACACAATTACTTAACATTCATCTGTATCTCAAACTGTTTATATCTACATTCCAGAGAGCAATCAGTGACATTTTCACATATTTGAGTGTTACTTTAATACCAAAACTAATAATTTATCACATTGTTAACCAAAATCCACAATCTTTAGCACTCTACTAGCAAAAAAAGTCATGCAGTAAGACATGCCATGGATTTCATCCCACTTCAACTTGATTTTTATTTATTTGTTTTGAGGGGATTTTTTGTTTATGATAGAATAGTTTTTCCACAAAAAAACAAGAAAAAATGTACACTTGTATGCATATCCATGTATAGGCAATTTGAACACACCATCAACTTATTTCCGTATTTTCAGATAACATTGCTGAAGGCATGTGGTTAAATAATTTTTCTAGTCAAAAGATCAGAAAGTAGTGGATCTGTGATATAAGTCCTTATAAGGCCACCCTTAGTATACTTGTTCTACACTGTTTCTAATATAGTATGTCTTTGTCTCTTACAAGTCAAAGTATGCTGCCTCGACCCTGTTATAATCATTCAGGAGAAAGGTCCAAATACTAAAGTTTGAGGACTTCAAGATGAATATTGTTAGTTTGATTGTCTTTTCCATTTTGCCATTTTACTTTCCACCACTAAAATGCAACACAGATAAATTCATAGATTTGAGGTATATTTATTTGTTAATCTAAAAAAGTATCTTTGGAAATCTATCAACTAAAAATGCTATGTAAGATGCTGAGGAAATGCAAAGTTGAGATACAAGCTCTGACTTGAAAACTATGCTTCATTTGCATTAGTCAGTTTTCTGGTTACTCTAATGAAATACTTGGGCCCTGCACCCCATGGGAGACCAGGAGAAGCACCTGGCTCCTGCCATCGGATCAGCGCGGTGCACCAGCCGCAGCGCGCCAGCCGGGGTGGCCACTGGAGGGTGAACCAACGACAAAGGAAGACCTTTCTCTCTGTCTCTCTCTCTCACTGTCCACTCTGCCTGTCAAAAAAAAAAAAAAAAAAAAATGAAATACATGGGAAAGGCTACATACAAAGGAAAGAGGTTTATTTCAGTATTGGTTTGGCCTCTGATGAGTGCAGGAATGGTGAAGCAAAGGGCCTGTGTGGAGAAAGGATCCCAAGGAGATCCAGAGAGCAGGGAGAATGACTGGCTTGAAATCAAACTTTTTAAACTAATGCTTTCAAGAGAACTGCCTTCTAAAGATTTCCCAAGAGACCTCTCCTCCCACACTCCATAACTGAAGTATGCTTCTACCCTATTAGAACCATGTATTTATGACTTTGGACTTTATAAAGTCCTATGTGTGTTCAGGAGCCAAATCATGTTCAGAGTAGAGCATATTCTCAATGCGAATTTGTTTCTTCATCTATACAATGGGTTGGGTT